AAAAAAAAATGTTAAAATTGCTTTTTCTAGAGGTTCACCTTAGAAATGCAAAGGTGCAAGCTGGCCAGTGTGTATGTTGGTTTTGCGTCCTATGAAACCCTAGTGCGAGACATGACTTTGACTAACGTTGCAGCTGCATGTAAATGGCATCATGCCGCACGCCAATCGCAACCCAAAACCCAAACCCAGGCCACGCCAAAGCGAGACCCATGCCACACGTTTCCCCGTAATCATCCATTATCCTAATGCCAGGTCCTGGCCCAAAAGTCCCCCGAGTCGCCGGACCATGTGTATGTAGCACTGGTCGATTGGATTATGCCTTTAGTCTGCGTACACTGCTCGACTTTTAGTGGCCTTGGCAGCGACATTTATTAATGATGCGGCCTGGTATTTAATTTTGGCCCAAAACGATTTGGGTAATCGCTGGCCGCAATCGTTTTAATTGGGCTAGTCAAGGAGCAAGCAGCAATCGATAGTGGAAAAACTGTAAAATCGTAAAAAGGGCAGAGGACCCTTCAAGTCCCCTTTTGTGCGTCATCACGTGTAATTTGAATGTTTGATTAAATTTCCTAGAAATATTCGTGTACCTGCGGCGACATCTGCTGTGATTCTCAGACAGACTAAAACACACACACAGAGGAGGTCCTGAAATCAATACTCATAAATTAAAGTCATAAAATGGCAACAGACAGTAAATATAAATAGAAGCCAGACACGAATTTTCAAGAGCTGCAAGGTAAAATCAATCGATTACCGCCTGGCTGGCATTTTACGGCTGAACTTTGGAAAAGGATATGGCCGGAAAGGACAAAGTTTAAAGCCCAAATAGGTAATCACAAGTTGGCCAGCAGATGAGAGAGAAACCGAGAGTTCAATGTCTGCCCTGTAATTAGCGAGTGTGTCTGTGAGTTTAGGAGTTGGGGAAATCAGGAGCAGGACAGGTCGGACAGGCCTGCGATGGCAGGGCACTTGACAGCATCCGCAGTAGATGCGACGACCTCCAAGCCCATTTAAACTTTCACAAACAATAAAAATCGCCCTACATAATACATGAGGTGGTGTTACGACCCCGTGAAAGACAGACAGACAGTCAGTCAGTCAGACAGGCAGGCGAAATAAGTTGCCGGTGACTTGTGGCTGATTTTCAAAAGGGGGAAAAACAAGTTTTGCATTTGAAGCGGCAAACATTTGCGGACTCATTACGAATCAGATTGTTTACCACCGACTGCCTGAACTTGCGTCCCATTAAAAATTCATTACAGATTCGCTCTGGCCCGTAATTATGAATAGAGTTCGAGTTAGGAATTTAGTGGACCAAAAATAAAGTTATAAACTATTTTAGTAAGGCAGAAAGAATGAAGGGAATTACACATTGTATGGAATATATTATCTATTTATAAGATTATATATTTATTAGAATTCCGATTTCGTTCTTAAAGTCCCATCTTCTTTAATCCTTCGTCTTTGGTTTAAAGTCTTTTCCCGATTTCCTCCAGTTGTTTGTTGAAACCTGGCATCCGGCTGAGGCATGAGTGGACTTCCTTCACAGCCTTATCCAGCTGGTGGAATGCCTTTTGATATTCCGAAATATTGTTCCGATCGAGGAGTTCATCGATCCTATCCTGGGCCTCTTTATAAGAATCCAAAACAGAACCGTTCCGTTGCATCATATTTTTGTACTCATTGCCTGCGTTTTCAATATTTTCCATGAGGCAGGACACCATCATAAGGAGTCTGGCCTGTTCTTTGTCCATTTCATTAAATTATTAAAAATGTAGGAAAACAATTGATTTTAAGCTGATGTAAGCTGGGCGAGAGGTAAATTTTTAGGCCAAAGCCTGCCTGGGTTTATACTTTAATTATATATTTTAGCTTATAGAATACCCAAAACCTGTAGGTGGGCTGCTTCAGCGCAATTAACTTTGCCGACTCCAATTGCATTTGTCATGCACAGAAAACGCCCCCGAAGACAACAACTGTCACTCGACACTGCTAAGTGCAACCTGGGTGGTACGGTGCAGCCGCATAAGGAGGACGGGCTCTTAAAGGATCTCAGGGAGAATGCGTAGCGGTATCAAGTTGTTATGTTGCACATAATTATATCAGAGCCGCGAAAGTTTCCTTGGCAATTTCGTTGACTGCCAGTCAGTCAGTCCAAGGATGAGGAGGAGGAGCCAGAGTAACTTTCATGAGATGCTGACACCGACAGGCGGCTAATTAGATATTCTATCGTCCCATTTAATGCACTTGTCGTGGCCCTGCATTCTTGGCATTCTTTGCCCAACTCTCTCTGTTGCGTGCAGAGAGAAAGAGAGACCTAAAGAATTCCAATTTAAATCGAATTTTCGGCTTGGCATGTGAAGGGCATGTGGCATTCTCTCTATTTTCCGGGCCAAAGCCTGGCCAAGTGTGTCAATGCAGTGACTCACAGAGCTTGACATACAAATTTGTGGTACATTTATTGGCTTGTTTGGTCAGCCCGGTCCACACACACACACACACAGAAGGGCAAGTTATATTTAAATGTTAAGCTGGCTCAAAGTCGGGGCCATTGACACAGATATTTGCACAGCTGGTGAGCTGAGACCGGACTTTTGGTTCCGCCTCTGGATCCAAGTCCTGCGGTCGAAACTCTGCACAGAGAGGAAATTCAGGGACTGAAGCCGGGCTTTAAAGGGGTAAATCGAATGATGTTAAAGATGTAAAGTCAAATCTTCTTAGTTGGCAGTTCCTAATTTCCCAGTGTGTGCTTTAATTTGCCTTATTTATTACACATTACAAGCCCAATTGCTAGGCACAGCTGGCCAGGCCCGACCCGGCCCGGTCAGGTCTTGGCCCCGCAAAGATATCTTATGCAAAAAGTTGGAAACTTTAAATAAATAAACTTTGAGGCGGAGGCTGGCCCGGCACACACGTAACAATTTGCGAGGTAAACATGGCTTTATTTTAGTTTCAATTTTCGCTTCGTTATTTTTGCGCACACACACACCGAGCTACACACAAAGGGCGGCTGTTTGTTTTTAGATTGCTGCAGCGCGTTGCATGTTGTCTTTGCCGCCGTCGTCGTCGTTGTCGTCGTCTTTTTGCCGCCATTTTACGCTCGTTATGGCAACACTTTGGCTCAAAAGCAAACGCCTGACGATGGCGAACACATCTCAAACTCAAACGGCGCGGCGGCCGCGTTTGCACAGGGGAAAAAGGGCATGGAGGAGCATCTCCTCCTGCGGGCTGGCTGCAAAAAATCATTTCAAGCAGAAACAACAAGGGAAATGCGGAAAACGCCTTCGCGCCCTACCCATTTCCCTTGCCTTGCCGTTTGTCGTCTGTGTTTGCCTGCATTCGCTTCGTTGACTGGCAACTTTCGTCGCCTCGGCCTTCGTCCTTGGTCCTCCTTCGGCCGCCTTCGACCTGTCTCCCTCTAGGCAACACCTCCCACATGATTGACTGCAGTGCGACGTGTCTCTTTTGGAGGGGACAAAATATGATCTAAGCCACTGATTCATATTCTTGATCCAAAGTACACCTTGAAATGTGTTTGAGTCTGTCTTGAAATATATTATTTATACTCTGATTTTAACTTAAGAAAGTCTTTATTGTTATATATTTTAGTTTGGATAGAAAAATAAAAGAGAACTCAAGTTAGAGAATAGTTGCTACCTTCTTCAGAGGGATATATCTTCTTTATCTCAAGATAAGATTCCCAGCCACTGATTCATATACCATGAAATGCATTTCATTCTTTTTTAAAATATTGTCGTATTCAGAGAGGGAACATATCCTCGAATATTTACAAATTCCTTGAGATTTTCTTAATAACAATTTCAGATTCTTGTAAGGTTTATGAGTTTTTGAGTATGTACCTACATATATAGGTTTCATCAAGTTTTTCCCCTGTATTTTTATCTTGTAACTTCTCTCTGGCAATAATTTTTCCGAGTTGGTTTTCCAGCGCGAAGAGATGCGTGTTGCAATTTTGTTAAGTCTTCAGTGTGTCTTCTTTCCCCGGGATTTGTTTACATGATTGCGCACTCCTCCGGTGCCTGTGCCCGTGCCTTTGCCTGTGTGTTTGCCTTTTCCACATTGCCAGCACCAGGCTGGCTGCATTAGCACTCGAGTGTTTGCATTTCCTTTGAGCCAAATCGCAGCAAATTATATTTTTATTGATTCGGCAAACATTTGAGCGAGATTTGCGCGATAAAGGCGCTGCGAGAGTGGCAAAGTGAATTAATTTTCCCGCTTGGGACTTTGCCTTTGCTTGTGCATATACTGCATATTGCGCATACGCCACCGACATGCCGGATTTAGATAGCGGTAGAGCGCAGAGAAACCGCAAAGGACAAACAACAACAAGTCAAGAACGGCGGTAGCAACAACTTTTCGCATTTACCAAAAAACTTTTCAGCATTTTCTTGTTCCCTCTTCGCTTTGCTACATGGCCATAGACCCACTGAGCAAATTGTAAATGAAAAAGTTTTTATGTTATTCAGTGTTTTCAGTGGGCGGAACCACTGTCTAGCTCACTCTCCTCCTCCCTCCCCCCTCCTCCCTCGTCAGCTGTCCATGTTGTTGTTGGCGCTGTCGTTATTGCTGCATTATGTCTATTGTTGTCTATATACATTTCTGTCGAAAGTAATTGTAAATGCTGTTCATAGTTTGACTGTCGACGTGCTGTCCTATCCCACTTCCCGCTCCCCGCACTCAATTCGAGAGTTTTCCATTGCCCAGCTTTCCCCAAGGACTTGTTTTAAAGTCAATATTATGGAACTGGGTGTATAGTATATAGCTTAAATTCCTGCATTCATTTCAAGGCAAAGGGAATAAAGAATAAAGCAAACAATAAAATATGGTAATGCACTCAGCTCAAAGAAAGTGTGAACTGCGGAACAGGAAAACAAAGTAATGCAACCGAGTGCTCAAAACGTATTTTAAGCGACAGTGAATAGAGCAAATCGACATTAAGCTACGTTTGAAGTGGCGCCCGACCAGGATACGGCCGCGACATGACCCGCTTTCGCATAAAAAATTTGAAAATCCTCTCCTGCTGCCTCAGCCTCTGGGTGGCGCTCTTTGGCGGAGCCCTGCATCTGGCCCAAGGCAGCGAGTTTCCCGAGCGCGAATGCTGCGACCTGACCACCACCTCCACGGTGGGCCCGCTGCCCATGCCGCCCGCCGCGCTGCCCACCGACAAGTCGCTCTCCTCGGCCACTACGGCCTTGGAAACGGATCTGGCCATCGGACGATCTGGTAAGTTGTATTGTAATAGGATATACCGATACTTGTACAACACTGATACTTACTCTGTTAAGGCTATTTAAAATAACATTAGCCTGTAAGCGCATCTCTAGGAGAATCGGCGAGTAAAATTAAGTGTTGTGAAACCCTAACGTCAAATCTCTTTACCATTTAAATCATTTTTTAAGGCGATTTGACGAGTTCACAAGTAATTTTACGCTCTAAGGTTAATTTACTTTATAATTTGACGAAATGAATAATCCGAATAATAATAACGCTGCGAAAAGGAGGAGGCTAATGAGAGAGTGCCACCGTGAAAACATACAGAACTTATTTAATACGATTTTGGCCACTGTCGCAATGCTTCGCGAAAGTATCCTCCAGGATCTGCAAAATGTAGAGGGAGATGTGAACGACGAGGTGAATGATGAGCTGAATGGAGAACTCAACGGAGGCGTGATCCAAGAACTGGTGGATCTGGAGGACGCCTTTAACACCGAAGACAGCGAGTAGAAGATTTCTTCAAAGAGCAATTACATTTTATGGATAATAAAAAAAAATATAATTGCAAGGAAAATATAGAAAATCAAAAAGAAAATTGGGTATTGTTTGTGGAAGACAGTTTTATATTATATATGGTACATAAATATCGGCGAGTTGGTTGCCAAGTGCAAATTTCTTAGTCATGCTAAGGAATGTGCCCAGGAATGCTTGTTGCCATGGCAACAACACTGTTGCTTGACAGGTGTAGCCGCCGCGCTGGCGCAATGTCAGTTGAGCAGGACAAGGACAGAAGACAGTCTGTTACCGAGTGGGGTCTGTTCGTCTGTTGCAATAATAGGAAAGAGAGAGAGAGACAGCTAGCCATGTCTAGCATTGTCGTTTGAGTGAAATGTTAGGGCCTATTTACACCAGGCTGCGTTATTGCGTTCATTTCGATTTCGATAGATAACTCAGGTCGGTGTAAATATTATTTTCTAGTCAATAGTGATCACGGGGAATGTACATATAATCCGAAGAGTATTAGGTGATGTTTAAAGAATAGAGAGGACTTTATTACTAGGAACATAAGTTGGTTATTCCTATAATTATTTTTAGATTTATTATGTCCAAGAAATATTCTAAAAATAATAATACATTTATTGTTTAGTCTAGAGATTTTGTAAGCTAAAATCATAACTTCGATTTCTGCCTGTGTATAGTAAGTGGACATGGGTCAGTGTGGTTAGTGGCCGATTGCCTATTCATAGTGCCACTAAAAATGGCCATGTCTAATTGCCAAGCGATATTTAATGGCTCAATGAGCAGAAGGACGCCCGCCACCCGAGGGCTACGGAGGACGACATCATCATCACTTCCGCTCCAATTAACACGATGACCTTTCGCCAGCCATCGATGTAGCTCCCCTGGGGGCGCCACGATGGGGTTAACTATTTGCCAGTTGTCCTGGAATGGGGGCCATTTGAAATTCAAAGCAAACGTCAGCTGTAAAACAATTTATATTCACTTTGAATTGAGGTTTTGTTTCGCATTTTATTGTGCGACCAGACAGACAGACAGACAGACAGACAGAGGGGATAAAGTATAGTATATGTGCTGGTGTCTCGGTTTCTTGCTGCGAAACTTGACTCGTATTAAATGTTTGCCGAGCATCGCTACGTGCCGTAAACAGGGGCAACAACAATTGGCTCTCCAGAATACTAAGTGAATATAGCACTCGATTTTATAGAACAACTTATAGAATATTTCTCGTGCTATGAGCTGCATCCGGAAATAGAACTGCATCTGCAACTGCAGAGTTTTCGCCTGCTGCCTTAAATGTTACATGGAAAATTGTCAAAGTCTGATTGAAATACGTACAAAAACACCGAATTGATTAAATAATATCACAGGCCAGCCATTAAATTTGAATTTTTTTTTTCTGCACTTCCGAACAAGTTTTTTCCAGGATTGAGTGCATACAAACAACTTTTTTGCGGGCCAAATACAAATACAAGGTTTCCTCATTGTGTATGCATCTTTAAATGTCAAATTAGGCACAAATTAAAAATGTCAGTTGGAAAAGTTGAAGGCTCCACTTCACAGAAACTTCTCCGCCTCTCTCCAACTTTGACGGCAGCCATTCAATTGGTTCGAGGAACTGGTTATGGAGTGCATTAACCCCACAAATGCAGCCGGGGGGGACTGAGTTCAATACACGCACTTAGTGGCAGTTCCTGTCCCCGTAATTGAGTTTATTAAATAATCACAAATATCGATTGGCTTCGATTCAAACTGCTTGGCTAGCCACTTCAAAGGGTTGCGGCGGCTCTGTGGAAACAGGGCCAATTGCCCGGCACAAATGCAGAATGCAAGAAAAAAAGGTTGATTATGCAACAAACTTGATTGACTGACGGACTGTCAGGCAGAGACACACATACATATGTGCACAGGTTGGCAGGACAAATTAGTCATTAAAGGATATGCTCTCAATATGCCAGACGCAGTGATTGAAACGCAGGCCAGGAGGCAAGCTCAGGGAACACACAACAAAATTAGGGATATTTGTTTGAGTCTAAATTGAAGATATAATATTTAAATTTTGGAATTATTAATATAACGAAAAAGAACTCAAGGTTTCTCGCCAAGTTCATCAAGAGTTCCCTCTTCTTTCAATTAAAGTTACTTTCAAAAAAACTTCTTCCTGTGCATTTCACAGGACGAAGGACGAGGAAAATTACAGAAAAGGACATAGTCCTTACTGCAATGGGTTTGACGTTGAGGGACATAAAAATTTCCGTTCTATGTTAGCTGCTTGCCTTTTTTTTTTTTTTTTTTTGCTCCTAACAATGTTCCTTGGACATATGGACCTGCGAGGGGGGTTGGCTGTGTGGCTATGTAGGTGAAACGTGTGGAACGTCGAGAACATCTTGCAGTTTATGTATATAGCATTTAGATTGAGTTTGCACGAATGTACACAAGTTGTTCGAATTCGCATTTGAATGGGGAATGGAGAATTTCTTTTAGTGGCCAACACGAGGACGGATGTGCCTCCTTGAGTTGTGGATCCCCGGGATCTCCGTCTCCGTCTGAGCGGCTGAGTGTCCATCTGTCTGCCTGTCTGCCTGCCTGTCGTTGGGCTTAGCCATGACATAAGATTTTAATCAGCATAAAATTTTCGTTTTTCCTTCGATTGCCTTTCCCCTTTTGATAGAGAGACCGGGAGAAAAAAAAAGAGAGTTGGTCAATGGAAAATGTAATTTCATATTTAAAATTCGCTTTGGTCTTTGCCTGTTTGCTTTCGATTTTTTCCCAGTTAAGTAAAAGTTGATTTATTTTCATTGAAATTGGAATTTAAGGAATATATATTAGTGACTAAGAAGAGGAGGATATCGACTGCCTGTGACTTTAGTTGCTTGTAAATAACTCTAAGTAGTGTTGATGTTAGTAACCCTCTAAAGTATTAAAGTCTCTTTTAATTCACCTAAATTTAGGTGTGTTTAAAGCTGACTAAGTCTTGGTTTTAAAGTTCTAAAGCCTTGTGTTGCCTGAAATATTGTTGCAACCGCATTTCCTCGCTAACACGCTTACCCTTAAATCGCATCAATTTTAAACGCAACAGACACTTCACTTCGCACACCGACACGGACACCAATACACACACACACCCATGCATGGGTACAAACACTCGTAAGTTATTCCACCTTAATTATATTGCAACACCCCGACTCGAAACTCTTCCTCACGCCCCTTCCCGGTCCGAACTCACCCGATGCGATGCTCGACCCATTCCGACCCAATTCGAGGCACACAACGCAGGTGGCCAGGTGCCTGAAGGTCCATGTAACACAATGTTTTATGTACTGCCCGTCGTGTGTGTGTGTGCGAGTGTGTGTCTTTCCCCGCTCGCGTATGTGCGTGAATTAGTTATGAAGCCAAAGTCAAAGTGGGTCAGCAGCAGTCCTTCTTTTCCCGCTGCAGCGGCCAGCAATGCGATTCCGCCTCCAGTTTCATTTTCAGTTTGAGTTCGAGTTCGAGCTTGAGTTCGAGTCGAGTGCGGCCATATTTTTAGAGCTTCGGCAATGCCAATTTAATGTTATTGCGTATACGTGCCGTTGGCCGGCATTATCAATAGTCCTGTGTGCACAGAGAAAAAGCATAACAATATCTATTCTCCTTATGATTTGCATATAAATTTAAGTTGGATACAAATCAAAGTAATATTTCTGATATCTAAAAGAGAAAAGAGAGAACGCAAGGGGTTTTTAACCAAGTTTTAGATATTATTTAAGGATGGTCACTAAACAAGTTTGAACCTTAATTATAAATTTAAAACCCTCTTCAAATGCTCTTTCTTTTTCAGATTCTTTTAATTAAGTAACCATTCTATGAGATTATTACGAGAAACAGGAAAAGACTTTAATTTTAACATTTCCTTATATATATATACCAATTCCGACGATCAATTGCCAAGCTTTTATATTCTCTCAGTGCTGTGCACCATTGTGCATTTACAGCAGTTAAAATTGTAATTAAATTCAACGCCCGCACATGTGTAATGCAAATTATGTATGCGTGTCACAGCCGGCGTGCCACAATAAAATGCAACACGAGAAGAGGAAACAACTGCAGCAGAAGCAGCAGCAGCAGCAGCAGCAGTGAACATACATTTCAATTTGTAGGACACTCGACCAGAAAAAAAAAAACAGAACAGAGGAACAAGCTCTCGGCACTTAACCTTCTGCTCGAAGCAGACCGACTTGAGTTGGCGATGGTGATGGCATCCCGCTGCCCTGAGTGCGACCTTCATCAAATCAACGAAAGGTAGCTGCTTTTGCTTTCTGCTTCTGCTTCTGCTTCTGCTTCTGCTTCTGCTTTTGCTGCTTCTACTGTTTGCCAGCCAAATTAAAAATTCAGCAGAAGACCGAGGGCGGCGACGACGACCTCAGTGCTATGCCAAAGGTTGTTCGCGGCTGCTGGTCGGTCTCGACCTGTCTCGATTTCACTTGAAATGGAAAAAAATTCGTAGTCGC